CCCTGAGGCTGGTGTCGGCGCGCTGCTGGAGCTGCGTGTTAAGAGAGGAGGCAGCTTCCTCCGAAGCTGCCTCCTCTCCTTGTTCAGGCAGGCTTCGGCGTTCGTCGTCACCGGCCTTCTAGCCACTGCCGCTCCATATCTCATCATTCCATTTGTTTTGTCTTGTCTATTACACACACCTGGTTCATATCCCCTCATTAGTATGTGTATAAGTGTTCCCTTTGCCCCCCTTGTTCTTGTGGGTGATTGTTTATTGTGAGGAGTAGTAGCTCGGTTGAGCTCAGTGTATTTTGTATTGCCGGGATATATTTTCCTCGTGTGCCTGTTTTGTTCCACTGGACTGGTTGACGCTATTCTGCGTAAGGCTGTATTACGGAATAAACTCTGTATTCTGTGATTTACCCTCCTGTGCCTTACTCCTTCAAATCACGCACCACAATAAGAGCTTTGCACACCTGGATTTACAATATTTGCACATTATTCTTAAAATAATTCTTCAAGCTCTGTTAAGTTGGTTGTTGATCAATTCTTGCCATAGATTCTCAAGCCGATTTAAGTCAAAACTGTGACTAGGCCACTCAGGAACATTCAATGCTTGGCCTTGTGTCTTAGGTTATTGTCCTGCTGAAAGGTGAATTTGTCTCCCAGTGTGTTGGAAAGCAGACTGAACCAGGTTTTCTTCTAGGATTTTGCCTTTGCTTAGCTGAGTTATGAAGGATGCCTGTATCTTTGTAGTGACTGGGTGTATTGATACACCATCCAAAGTGTAATCAATAACTTCAGCATGCTCAAAGGGATATTCAATGTCTGTTTATTTTTATTTTTACCCATCTACCAATAGGTGCCCTTCTTTGCGAGGCATTGGAAAACCTCCCTGGTCTTTGTGGTTGAATCTGTGTTTGAAATGCACTGCTCGACTGAGGAACCTTACAGATATTTGTATGTGTGGGGTACAGAGATGAGGTAGTCGTTCAAAAATCATGTTAAACACTATTAGTGCACACAGAGTGAGTCCATGCAACTTATTATGTGACTTGTTAAGCACATTTTTACTCCTGAAGGCTTGTCATAACTAAGGTGTTGAATACTTATTGATGCAAGACATTTCAGCTTTTCATTTTAAATTAATTTATAAACATTTCTACAAACATAATTCCACTTATGGGGAACTGTGTGAAGGCCAGTGACACACAATCTCAAGCATTAACACAACAAAATGTGGAAAAAGTCAAGGGATGTGATACTTTCTGAAAGCACTGTATGTGATGTCAGATTTCACCAGTCAGTCAGGGCCTGGACAAGGGTCATCGCTTCACAAATATTCCACTTCCAGCCTCTATACTGCTGTCTACCCTGCCTGTTCATACCTATTTTATCATGCTATCCTCAAATATTTATATTTATGTTAAACGTGCACTAGTGTATTGTTTGTTACATTTGATTTGTTGGCTTTAATTGGTCTTTTATTACCATGAACTGTAAAAATATAATATTTTTAATATTTTCTACACGAGTCATCATTGGTCTTTATTACGAATGCAGCTGCCAAAAAAGGTTCCTGTAAGGGATAGAAGACACTGTTTAAATAGTGGTTGAAATATGAAGAGATACTTTATTAGTCCATACGGTATGGAAAAACTCATCTATAAAGTCATACCAAATTCAACATATATCACCTCAATGTGAATATGGCACCTTGATCAAAAGGTCAGAAATAATTTAACAGTGCCATAAAATATAATTTTTTAAAAGTCATAGCACTGTATTTGTAGATGTCACTCCCCCTATTAGATGTGAACCCCAATAGCGATCTTATTGTAGTTCTTTGTATTTACTGAGGACCTCTAGTGGTGAGTTGGGTAACGCTTTACTTACAGCTTGCAGGTTAATTAATTATTATAATACTTGCCATAAGACATTATAAAGGCTCATACATGCTTATGACAAGTTATAATGTTTTTGGTCAAAAAATAGAAAAATCACCAAGAATTCAGCAAAAAAAAAGAGAAGTGATAGTGTCTCAATGTAATCAAATGGTCAGTTTGCAGTGTACAAATTATTAGAATTATGTAACGGCCCCCCGACCATCTGCATTGAGACAAATCGGCCCGTCGCTTAATCTAGTTGCCAACCTCTGGGCTAGAATATACGTAAATGGACCCTATGTTTACAGAGCCACAGAGTGCATACTTTAGGAGAATCATACCATCGTGCAAATGTACTTTTTTGTTCTAGGTTATCCTCTTGGATCCAGCACCTGGGAATTTTTTTTAATGGATGTGTATATATCACCCCTCTACCCACAGAATGCATATACCTATCATCACAATAGTCGTTCCAATGTTCTGACAAAGCTTTTTATTTTGTTGTATGCAGTTAACAGGCACTACAGTTTGAATCCATTATTCTAAACTATTATTCTAAACAGACAAACTTCTAGACCACTAGGGCTTTCCCACAACATGTCCGACCCCTTTGTTCCCCTACATACTGTATGCAAAACGAGGTCAAATAAAAGGTTAAAACATCTTTACATATTCACCATCCTTTCACGGCTTCACGTGAGTTTCTGTGTGAACGCTGTAGTCGTTATATAAATTACTGTACGTTACATTATCATCATATACAAATTAGATGACATGTTTACAACAGTATTGTAAACAATCCCATGCTGACTTAGATAGAATGCATTGTGTTTGCTGGGTACATGGACAATAGTGTGCTATCTATACTTTATTGGTGTGTTGAACTGGCTAAAATAGTCTACAATAGTTTAAAAGAGTATGTACACTAGTTGCGTCGTTGCATGGTGGTAATTGAACTGGGTCTTTCCAGATGCACTGAGCCAGTGTCTGTGTACGCATGCTCTCTTTCTCTCCCTGTTAGTGTGTGTGTTGTGGGTACGGGTGGTGTGACTCAGGTGAAGCAGTTACTGATTTAGCTAGGCTTGGGTTTCAGAGCTTGCGCTGCTACAATACTCATTTTGAGAGCGGATGGTTAAAGTGTTTTATCCCACAATCGGATGTGCAGTCCCAAAATGTCCCCCCGACACCCATATCCCAGATGTCCAGAATGAACTTCTAGCAGCAGAAAATACAGTTTCCTCATCAAGATTTCAGAAGAGGCTCCTCTTTCTGTCTTTCTTTACAGTGTCCTTTGTACTGTAGCTTTCTCTTCCCATGTCAGTAGGAGTACATCCCTGGTGTTTAAAGGGTTGCTAAGGAAACTAACACTACAGCTGTTTCACATATATACTGTATATATTATAACAGTCACACATTTTGTAGGTATAATCTCTGTTGCCGATTCTCTTTGATTCACTAGTTCAATAGACAAGGATTAAGGATTGTGTGTTGTGTAGATTCAAGTTATCTATTTATTTATTTGGAGAAGTTAAAAACAATTGAATACTGATTAGTCTAGATTTTGCCAGTTAAGAGACACAAATCATTGGCATCAGTTTCTAAGATTATGTTAAGGATTGAACTGACAGGATAAAAACATAAACTAAGAAGAATGAACAATTTGGTCAACGTGTACAGTAAGCTCACTTTCAGTAGTATTTAACAGCTTATGGTGATCCAGCACGCAATGACCGTTAGATCAGGGACAGCAAGGTGGAGAGAGACCGAGACTGAGCTGGGATACAGTTAGGGTGACTAATTTTCATTCATAAAAAAATACACGTCTTCTATATCTATGGATAGAATCTATTATCTCACATGTGGCAGTGGGGCTCTCATTGGTTTGTTACTGTAAATGTGTCATCCACACAGTGAATTCCCAGGATTCTCTCATATTCCCAAATGTCTTTGTCTCCTTTCATTTGGTTGGTGACAGTTCATTTCTGATGACAAACCGTTTAACCCATTGATGGAGTAGGGTTGTGTTGGGTCGATGTTGTATTTGTGCTGAACCCTTGTGGAGGCCCACATAGGCGGAATAATGCACTACCTAAACCCAATACATGCTAAAGAAAGAAAAAGACAAAAGAAATCAAAGCAATAAGGCATATTTTTCTTATTTCTCAATGAACACAGCTTGCACTTTAAGACAAAAGAAAACACAATAAAGTGATGAGTCCAGAAAGCAGTGGGGTCAGGAAATGACAAGCACATGATCAACATGGTCTGGTCAGAGGTACTACAACTACATTAACTCAATGTATATGTCTATGTCCTATACCAGTGTTTCTTCAACCCCCGGTCCATGGTCCGGCACCGGCCCCTGAGACGTTACTGAGTGGTCCCTCATCTGTCTGACACCAATATAGTCTGATCTTGAGAGAAGCTTTTCAACTAAACAGTCATCCAAGGAGGAGAACCATTGCTTGCCAGTCTCTGGTACAACAAGGGTAGAGAAACACTGTTCTATACCATTACACTGAAAAAGGCTCAACAGCGTAGTACTGCTGTGCTCTGCTCTGCTCGACAGTGATTTGTCAATGATCCTGCAGCTAAACGTCATTAACGTGATATAGTAGCACATGCCAATGCTGCTGTTTCACAGGGGGACTTTTAGAACCTTACATGGAATGACAGACCCGTCAGCACATATTTACAATGCACAGTGCATAGGTCATTCTGGCTATGCAGGCACCATGGACTATACCATATCACTAGTGTTATGAGGGAACATACTTCCATACTGCCATGTAAATGTCATCATAACCACCGCACAACATTGGAATAGAACACAAAAATGCTGAATTATTTTCCTGCGCTTGCTGGAGTTGTGGTTGTTGTTGGTACACCTATACTGACATGGTTTAACTGTGGTCCCAAGCCCAGTGTTGTGGTTGATATGTGTTGGTTGTGCTGGTACTGTCTTTGTCTGATGTGAATCCTAGGGGAGTGTTTAAATATAGACTGCTCAGTCTGTGTGTTGGTTGCTCAGGTAGAGAGGAGGGACGGGGAAGTCTCTGGTAATGTGCAGTATGATCAGACAGTTCAGTCTGGGTGACTAACCAATGGGGCAGTGTCCTCCATGTACACAAGCAGCTAGATGGGCTCCACATAATTAGCAGGATATAAGCCCAACTGGCCACTGTCCAACCGGCCTTTACACCAACCCTGGTCATCCTCATCTTCTAGTTTAGTCAGCTCATCTCCTGTGAGAAAGGAAGGAGAGAGAGAGAGAGAGAGAGAGAGAGAGAGAGAGAGAGAGAGAGAGAGAGAGAGAGAGAGAGAGAGAGAGAGAGAGAGAGAGAGAGAGAGAGAGAGAGAGAGAGAGAGAGAGAGATAGAGAGAAGGAGGGAGCGAGAGAGAGAAAGAGAGGAAGGGAAGGTAGAAAGAGACATCATATTGACATACAATTTTGATTGATATTTGATTGAGTTATCAACAAAAATGAATTCAATTACAATTCTGTTTGAAATCAACCAAACCTTGAAACTCTGTTGTTGATTTTTGGTTGAAATCTGGGTTAAATTTGAGATGTGTACATTGATGACTTTTTGCAAACTATACCTCAAACTGGTGCCAGTTCATATGCATGCCAGGGCCGTGGGTGTTGCTATTGTTTGTTGTCTTTTTGGGATGAAAAAGGTAATGAGACAAAAAAAACTCATTTTTATCTCTGGAAACCTTTTATCCTACTGTGGGTTAGTTCGATTATTTGTTTGAAATCATATATAAAATAAATAACAAAACAAATATATTTGAAAAGGTCAGTGCACAATTTAGTGTATTTCTTAGAGTACCCAATCAACATGTTCTGTTTCTAAAAGGTTCAGTTCTTAGTAGTAGTAGTAGTAACTTTATTGTCCCAAATGGGACATTTATTTGTGGCATTACATTTTAAAAAGATAGACATCGCAACATGACAATAAACACAGAATCACAACCAAACAACCAAATAGAGTTGTTAGTTCTCGTTGGGATTCTCACCTGCTTTAAAGGTGAGTTCGTCCTGTTCCTGCCCGTCATAGTCGTACAGCGCCCTCACCCGCACACCCTTCGCTGACTCCTCCTCAAAGGGGTTGGCCCCACCCCCGTTGGTGTCTGAGCCGGAGTTTGGCGCGGCCTGCTCATCGTCTGACCACTCTGCCGACTGGTCCTGGGAGGAATAGGCCTGGTTCTTATCAGAGCTGCTCACACTGTGGAGGAGATGGTTTAACATCATGGACCATCATCATCATCATCATTGTTCAGTTGCAGAACAGTTGACCACAAGTTTCCTCCAGTAACTAGGACCACTATCCATCATCATGGTCATCATGTGACCAGCACAGAGGAGAAAGGGCTGTTGCTACCTTCCAGTCGAACCAAGGTGAGTGAATTGGAGACACAAACTAGATGTTTCACGTCCATTGTCCTTTAATGTCTCCTACATTCATGTTGACCCAGCACGAGAAAACATGCAACACTTCTCTGTTCTGCTATGATCATCCTGACAATACAAAAACAACTGGCTTGACATCATCTTCTGGCCACTAAACAGCCCTTGTGGAGATATTACCAAGCACAACTGTGATATTTCATATCGAGTTATTGATACTGTAGCTTGTGATAACATTGGTGCTTTGTATTTCTGAACTGTTAACTTTACATCCACATAAATCATTACTGCCATCTCCTGGACATCAGATAAGGACATCCGATAAGACAAGATAAGATAAATGTTATAGCCCACAATACAAGTGGAAATGGTCTCGAGCAAACAACAGATATAACATCTCATACACAGAATTCATACATTGCCTATTGCACAATTGACTATTGCACATATGGGCCATTCTGGCTCGGACAAGGCTTGCTTGTCCAAGACTTACTTACTTACTATTGCACAATGCCAATTACATTGTAAAAATAGATGTTTTGAGATCAATTCTGCTGTTAGTATTGATAAAAGATGAAAATGGTCTCTGTGATGACACACAGTTATTCTACATGTTAGAGGCATGTCTGTTGTACTACAGAAGGTAACCGTAGTGGTGGAGGTGTCTGTGAGACCTACCTGCCCCTGTCTCCAGCTGGTGCAGCCACATAGTCCGGTGCCGCTGTCACGTTGGTCAGCATGATACCGTCTGCCCCTTTCTTTGACTTCTCTCGTTTGCTGATCATGTGAGTGATCTCTGGGTTGTACTCCTGGAAGGAAGGAAGGAAGGAAGGAAGGAAGGAAGGGAGGAAGGAAGGAAGGAAGGAAGGAAGGAAGGAAGGAAGGAAGGAAGGAAGGAAGGAAGGAAGGAAGGAAGGAAGGAAGGAAGGAAGGAAGGAAGGAAGGAAGGAAGGAAGGAAGGAAGGGAGGGAGGAAGGAAGGAAGGAAGGAAGGAAGGAAGGAAGGTAGGAAGGAAGGAAGGAAGGAAGGAAGGAAGGAAGGAAGGAAGGAAGGAAGGAAGGAAGGAAGGAAGGAAGGAAGGAAGGAAGGAAGGAAGGAAGGAAGGAAGGAAGGAAGGAAGGAAGGAAGGAAGGAAGGAAGGAAGGAAGGAAGGAAGGAAGGAAGGAAGGAAGGAAGGAAGGAAGGAAGGAAGGAAGGAAGGAAGGAAGGAAGACAGGGAGCAAGCCATAGTTACGAGTCAATGCCTAATTTTTCCTATTCAGTCAATGGGGGAAGTGAATTAAAATTAATTCATACCATGAGTTGAAAGCGAACAATTAAACACATGTATTGTGAGCCTAACTGGGAAGCAGTGGTTGTGTACCTCAAACTGGGGCCAGTTCATATGCATGCCAGGGCCGTGGTTGTTGCTGAACCACTTCAGGTCCTCCTGTGCGCTGGCAGAGGTGATGGTGCGCTCCAGGTCTCTGTACACTGTGGTGTAGCTGAAGACAGATAGAGATAGATAGCAGTTACACCTCTGTTCTGACACATTCATCTTGACTCAGTGTACTATTATGGTGGTGCCCAGGTGGTGGGCCAAGGAGTGTGTGTGCGTGCGTGCATGTGTGTGTGAGTTTGGCCCTACCTTTGGTTCTCGGTGAGGTTGAGGTGTCGTTTGATGTCCAACAGCACCTCCCTGAGGAAGCACAGTCTCTTATCCTCAAACTGCTGACACATGTCAAACACTGTCTCCATGTTCTCCATGTACTGAGGCGTACACTTCCTCAGCTCATCCAGAGTCTTCTCATACTTCTCTTTAGCCTGCATGGGGAAGATCACACAGTATGTTAATAACATCTAAGGGATAAACATCTACACAGGCTGTACAGTTCAGAGTTGACCCCTGCAAAATGGGTTTAATATTTGTAATGTTTTAATGTTTCAGAGACCTTTCATAACGTGTATTTTAAAGTCAAAATTCTAAACGTTACAGTGACTTTTCTTTTTCTAGTTGGTTAGATTTTTTTGCTTCTGCATAGCAAGGTCTTTAGAGGCTTGAGGTTACTGAGAAGTGGTAGTGATTGAAGTTGACCAAGGTTGAATGATAATTAGTGGTCCTCTAAGTAGTTCTAAGACAGTATTATTGAACATATGTCATGGTTTGAGTGGGTCAAGGGGTAGCAAGGCTGTGATATCATCCCAGTGGGCTCAGCAGAGTAAAGTACACTATACTAATAAATAGGTAATCACTGGGCATAGATCTTTAACTGGTCAGGATGCATGGTCAAGAAAAACTCCTGGAACTACTAATGGCAATGGGATGAGAGGCCTCCCTAACAGAAGGAGGAGGAAGAGGAGTTTTGAGCAGTGGAGGGTGGCACCTGCAGGATTAAGATCTGCAGTGTGTGACCCAGAAGAGTCTTAAAATAGCTGGAGTTGATTTGATTCACCTCTCCTCTTGCCTTGATTGCAGCTCTCAGTGTGAGAACTGATTAGCAGAAAGGACTCTGTGATAATGTGTGGTAATCAGCGTTCCGGCACAAAATGGCTGTCGTGTATCAGCCAGGTGGGTGCTACTGCTATGCATTGGTGGTGGAAGTAAGCTCTTACACCCTGATCTGGTCAGTAGGGGTCTGGGTAGCTCACCTTCTGAGAATCCTGCTTGCACCTGTCCACCTTGTCCAGGAGCTTCTTCTGCTGGTCGGCCGTGACTGAGGCATCTGCCTTGCTGTTGGCCTCTCTGATGGATGCTACCTTCTCCTCCTTACATGCCAGGTGGTACGTCTTCTTGGCAGTCTCAAGCTGAGGAGAGACGATATGGTATATTTTAGAAGGACATGAACCCTTTGGGGATATCATTTGAATGCAAACTACTTAAAGGTTACAGCAGATCGTGGTGCATGTTCTGATCCGGAACTCTACGTCAATGACAGCTCAATTTGGGAAAATGTTTCATAATTCTAAGTGCAGGTCAGGTGGTTGCCCCTCACCTCCTTGAGCTTCTTGGCCCATGGTTTCTGGGCCTTCTTGAAGCCCTCCTCTGCCTCTTTGGTTTCCTTGAAGCCTCCCATCATCTGCTTGTGGTAGGAGTCCTTCTGCCAGTTCTTCACCTTCTCAAAGTCATTGTTGACCAGGCTGTTCTTCACATCCTGATGCAGCTCACTCACCTTCTCAGCCTCTGTCATCACTGCCACCCAGGCCCTCTCCACACTGCCGTACTGGGGTCCTGAGGGAGAGGGAGAAGTGGGAGGACCATTAGCAATTTTAGAAACAGATTACTCCAGTTTTACTTCATGACTAATAACAGTTTTATTCCATGACCATGACAAAACTGTCTAGAGAAAAGAAGATCCCGCACATTGCGTTTACGGGACTGACAAAACTAGAAAGAGTTTATTATAAATTATAAACTGGGCGGTTCGAACCTTGAATGCTGATTGGCTGATTGCCGTGGTACATTATATCAGATCGTATACCCCGGGTATGACACAACATTTATTTTTACTGCTCTAATTACATTGGTAACCAGTTTATAATATAAATAAGGCACCTCAGGGGTTTGTGATATATGGCCAATATACCACGGCTAAGGGCTGTGTCCAGGCACTCCGTGTTGCATCGTGCATAAGAACAGCCCTTAGCTGTGGTATATTGGCCATATACCACACCCCCGCAGACCTTATTGCTTAAAAATAGCATGCTCCCACTAAGCACGGACTGACGCTGACGTCATTTGGACGTCTTTTTTTGGTCCTGACTGGACATCTTTTTTGGGTCTTTTTTTGGTGCGATCCGAACCAGCCTTGATTTCTGAACCAATCATAGACATCTATGTTTGGTCCAGATTAGGTCTGGATTGGCCTTGTTTTCAACATCCACAGACGTAAGTGGCTGATGGTGTCATGTGACAGTGGGTGATGGTGCTGGTAGGTCAAAGTTTAATTAATGGAATGGGGGTGTGGTATATTGTATATCTTAAATGTATGCCTACTTTCAGACATAGATCTCTCTTTTCAATATCACTTACCCTTCCATTTCTTGACCAGTTATCTGGGACAGTGATGTTGTTTCAATGTGCCAATTCATAGGCAAGTTCTCTGCATTTGAGGCTACCAAGCCCATGAAAACTAGTCCGCGAGATTCTTGATATGTTTAGCAAGCTCAGACTCCATGGCATCAGCTAAGACCTTGTGTGCCTCTGCTACTCTATCATACATTCTTAGAAAAAAGAGTTCCAAAATGGTTATTCGGCTGTTACGAGTCAAGCCTCCCTTGAGGTTCTTGAGAGAGCAGCCAAGGAAGTGAGAGAAGGGAAGAAGTCAATTTAAGCAGCAGCAAGGGATAAATAGACTGAATGACACTGAAGAGGTACGTTGACAAAAAAAAGAAAACAAACATGTTCCTTTGAGAAAGAGAAGCTACAACAAGGTACTATCTAGAACCTAAAACGGTTATTCGGCTGTCCCCATAGGAGAACCATTTGAAGAACCCTTTTTGGTTCCAGGTAGAACACTTTTGGGTTCAATGTAGAGCCTTCTGTCTCTCAGTTCCTTGGCTGCTCTCTCAAGAACCTCAAGGGCGGCTAGACCCTGCTTGTTTTATGTTTGTATACACGGGGCATGATGATGTCTGCTCTGTAACAATAAAAATGCTCTATCTTGAGTTCATATGCATGACACATTGCAAAAACTTTATGCATATGAACAAAACGGACAAAATGTAATAATCATTTGTATGAGGTATGGTGGCCATTGGCTCAACTTACCCCAAGGTTAACATTTTGACTATATTAGCCCACACAAATACAAGGATGCACTTTCATGCTAGATTTAGGACCTCATATTGTAGGTTCTTAACCTAGCACAAAACAATCTTAAAACAATCTACTTTGGTTTAGATACAGTACAGCAGAGAACAGTAAAGTAAAGAAAAGTAAAGTATACTTCAGTACAGCTAAGCACAGAAGAGTATAGTACAGTATAATGTACTGTATTTTACCCTACTTTACAGTACTGTACTGTACTCTACTGAATTAAACTGTACTGTACTGTACCGTACTGTACTCTACTCTACTGAATAAAATGTACCGTACCATACTGTACTCTACTGTGCTCTTCTGTGCTCTACTGTACTGAACTGTGCCATACTGTACTGTGCTGTTCAAACTTGTGAAACATAGCGTAGACGTCTGTGTTTTGTTCAGATTTGGTCTGGTCCGGACCGACCAAATTTGTACTTGTTTGGGGGCGGAGCTCATTAATGAATAATAATAGTTATTACAGTCAGTGCATTCAATTACAGTAGATGAACAATAGCATATTACAGTCATAGCAAGAAAGATATATTTCTGTAACTGTTACTGAGAATGTTATTACAGTTGAAGTGGGCTGTTGGTTTATTCTGTAGGTTGGACTAGTAAAAGTAGATTTTAGCCTACTGTAAATGATTCGGGAAGGAGAGGATAAAGGGGCGGTAGGACTGCTGACAGCAGGGTATGAAAAGTCACAATACCACGCCTCAACACACATTTACACAGATGCTCCAAGGACCCGGTGACCACGTCTCAGCAGCTTTCACTATCCCATACTGTTCACCCAGAAAAAAAGTTGAACAAATAACCTCTGAACTCATTCGCCAGTATCCATGTGTGTGTGTGTGTATGTGTGTTTGTGTTGTGTTGGTATGCGTGTTTGTGTTATGTGTGTGTGTGTGCATATGTAGTGTATGTGAATGTGTGTGGGTTTTGTGTGAGTGTGTTTTATTAGTCGTATGTACGGGATACACATGGCATACACGTCCAATGAAATGCTTACTTGCAGGTTACTTCTCGACAAAGCAACAACAATAAGAAATAAGAAAAGATAAGATAAGAATACGAACATAAAGTAAATGTAAATGGCTCAGTAGAATAAAATAAACGTTTTAACATAATTATAATACAGGAAGGCACAATTTATATTCTGATATTTACACGTGTTTTGGGGAAGGGGGGATTGGGGGGCAAGTGTCTACATTTTGCAGTATTTAGCAATCATGGCAAGAGTCTGGTAGCAGCAGTTGTGATGTGTGTGTAGCATGAATGTGTGTGTGTGTGTGTATGTGTGTCTGTGTGGGTGTGTGCTAAAGTGTGGAGAATCAGAGCAGGTGGTCAGTCCAGTTCAAGTGTTCAGCAGTCTGATGGCTTGTAGATAGAAACTGTCTCTGAGTGTTGGTATCAGACCTAATGCTCGAATTGTACAGCTTGTGGCCGGGGTGTGTGGGGTTCCTTGATGATGCTGCGGGCCTTCCTCAGGCACCGTTTCGAGTAGATGTCCTGAATGGGTGGGAACATGGTGATGTTCTGGGCCATCTTGACCACCCACTGGAGGGCCTTGCGGTCATGGATGGAGCAATTCCTGTACCAGGCCGTGATGCAACCTACCAGGATGCTCTCGATGGTGAAGCTGTAGTATTTGGAGAGGACACGGGGTGGCATGGCCAATTTCTTCAGCAGCCTTAGGAGGTAGAGACGCTGTTGCGCCCTCATCACAAGAGTGGTGGTGTTGTTGGTCCATGTCAAGTCCTCGGTGATGTGCCGAGGAACTTATTAAAACTGCTGACTCTCTACTGAAATCCCATTGATGTGGATCTGGGCATGTTACATCCTCTGCTTCCTGAAGTCAACAATGAACTCCTTTGTTTTTTTGGCGTTGAGGGAGAGATTGTTGTCCTGGCACACATTGCCAGTTCACTTACCTCCTCCCTATTGGCTGACTCGTCGTTGTTGGTTATCTGGCCTACAACCGTGGTGTCGTCAGCAAACTTGATGATGGAGTTGGTGTCATGCAAAGCCACGCAGTCATGGGTGAACAGGGAGTACAGCAGAGGGCTGAGGACACACCCCTGGAGACCCCTGTGTTTAGAGTCAGTGCCGTTCAAGAAGTCCAGGTTCCAGGTTCCAGTTGCAGAGGGTGGTGTCCAGACCCAGGGCTCTGAGCTTGGTGTCGAGCTTGGAGGAAACAATGATATTTTGGAGAACATTTTTTAAGTCACCCATGACAATAAAGACTGCTTCCAGGTGAGAGGATTCTTGCCGACTAATGATCTTGTACAGCCTTGGTGTTTGCTTGTGGCGGTATGTACACAGCTGTGATAATAACACACGTTAACTGCATTTTAGCATCTGAAACTCCAGGTCGGGTGAACAGAAGCTCGAGATGTTTTCAACTTCGGTACACCAGGAATTGTTGATGAGGAAACATACCCCTCCCCCCTACTCTTACCTGAAGCTGCCGTTTGATCCATACGTAAAATGGAAACACCGTCTGGTTGAAAAGCAGAGTCAAGTGTATCGTCTATAAGCCATGTCCCTGTAAAAACACAGCATTCCCTGATGTCCCTCTGCGATTGAAGCCTTGCTCTGAGTTCACAACTTTTATTTTCCAGCGATTGGACATTGGCCATCAGGATACTAGGAAGAGGAGGCTGTGTAGCATGTCTTTTCCGGCGAGCTTTGAGTCCCCCTTTTCTTCCTCTTCTTCGTCGCCGGCATTGCTTTCGGTCATCTTTGTCAGTAGCAACAAGTAAGCCCGCTGTGCGGGGAACAAAGGAGCGAATGTAGTATTCCAGATCTGGCTGAGAGATAAGTGTGTAGCTTCCCATTCATGATCCAGAAGTGTTTGTCGATCATAGGACATTTTTGAACGAACATTCTGAGAAAACAAAGTCATAATTCCACGCAAAATAGCCATATAAAAGTCGAGCAGTAGTGTGTGAGTGAGTGTCTATATAGTGTCTATATACACTCACTGGCCAGTTTATTAGGTATACCTATCTAGTACTGGGTCGGACCCCCCTTTGCCTCCAGAACAGCCTGAATTCTTTGGGGAATTGATTCTACAAGGTGTCGGAAACGTTCAAACGTTTTGTATCAATTTGTATCAAGGGACATCATGTGTGCCAGGAAAACAATCCCCACACCTTTATCCACTGCCACCAGCCTGTACCGTTGACATCAGGCAGGATGGAGCCATGGACTCATGCTGCTTACGGCAAATCCTGAATCAGCCATCAGCCTGACGCAACAGGAACCAGGATTCGTCGGACCAGGTTATGTTTTTCTACTCCTCAATTGTCCAGTGTTGGTGATCAAGTACCCACTGGAGCAGCTTCTTCTTGTTTTTTAGCTGATAGGAGTGGAACCCTGTGTGGTCGTCTGCTGCAATAGCCCATCCGTGACAAGGGCCGACGAGTTGTGTGTTCCGAGATGCCGTTCTGCACACCACTATTGTACTGCGCTGTTATTTGCCTGTTTGTGACCCACCTGTTAGATTGCACGATTCTTGCCATTCTTCTTCTTTCATCAACGAGCTGTTTTCGCCCACAGGACTGCCGCTGATTGGATGTTTTTTGTTTGTCGCACCATTCTCTGTAAACCCTAGAGACTGTCATGCGGGAAAAGCCCAGGAGGCTGGCCGTTTCTGAGATACTGGAAGTGGCGCGCCTGGTTTTACCCATTCTAAGGTTCAATCGAATCCGTAACTAAATGCCTGGACGCCTGCCTGCTTTATATTGCAAGCCGCGGCCACTTGACTCACTGTGAATGGGGTGGTATACCTATTAAACTGGCCACTGAGTGTATAGTCTTGTGAGTGTGCATAGCAGTGGCGGTCAGTGCCGTTTATGATGAGGGAGGACGATTTTCTTTTTTAATGAGCATGGCTTTATTTCTATTACAGCATGTTGGATGACTGTCATTCATATTCCATTCACCCACTTCAATGTAACATCGATAGGTTTAGGCTACTACATGATACTCTAATTTTCCCTATACCCATCATGAGGTTGCTACAACCTAGCCTATGAATGAAAGTTTACAACGTAGGTGCACACAGGTCGAGAGAGAAATTTGAGATGACACACAGTGACACATTCAATACTGACTTGCACACTCTTGCCTGCATCTAGCTTATCTAGGGTGTAATCATTAGTCCAACAGTTGCAAACAAGAGTTTCTATTAGACAAATTGAGGTATTTTTTATCCCTGTTTCATTTGCTTCCGTTTAAGAAACGTTTTTCAACAGTTCACTTTTATACGTAGCAGCCACGTTGTATTCATTCTGGCCTCTATGCACTTTCCTCCTCTCACCTTTTCCCTTCTTTTGTGGACTTCAATGAACAACACATCAGCTGTATGTGACCAGGCGAAAAAAACCTTTCCAATCCATGTCATAACCGCTACACACAGCCTACATCGTTGTCCACATATTAGCTAAAGTAACGTCCTAGTCAACATAGCTAATAGAACTAATGCGTTAGTAAACCCACTACAATCATGCAGTAGCGTTACAGTGTATGAAATTCACTGAGGAGGATGGTCCTCCCCTTCCTCCCATGAGGAGCCTCCACTGGTGCATAGAGTCAGTGCAAATAGTCTGGGTAACCATTTAATTAATTATTTTGTCTTATGGCTATTTAGCAGTCTTATAGCTTAGGGGTAGAAGCTGTCTCGGAGCTGTTGGTCCGAGAGCCGATGCTCTGCTACTGTTTGCCGGACGGGAGCAGAGTGAACAGTCTATGGCTTGGGTGGCTGGAGTTGGGCCTTCCTCTGACACCGCCTGATATAGAGGTCCTGGATGGCAGGGAGCTCGGCCCCAGTGATGTACTGGGCTGTCCGCACCACCCTCTGTAGCGCTTTGCAGTCAACTGAGGTGCATTTGCCATACCAAGCGGTGATGCAGCCAGTCAAGATGCTCTCGATGGTGCAGCTGTAGATATTTGTGAGGATCCGAGGGCCCATACCAAATATTTTCAGCCTCCTGAGGGGGAAGAGCTGCTGTCGTACCCTCTTGACGACTCTGTGGGTGTGTGTGGACCACGTTCATTTAAGTCCTTAGTGATGTGGGATGCCAAGGAACTTGTAGCTCTCTACCCACTCCACTACAGGCCCATCGATGTGGATGGGGGCATGCTCTCGCACACCCGCAGCAGGCCACCCGCAGTAGACCAGACCTGGTTTCAATCAGCAATAACCACAAAGGACTTTCAAGACGATCAGAAACCATCATCACCCATCTGCGAATAGGCCACAACGGCCTCAACCACTGTCTCCATAAGATAGGAAAACACAAAACAGGTTCATGTCCCAACTGTCCTGCAGCAGAAACTACAGACCACGTCCTCTTTCACTGTCAAACCTACGAACGTCAAAGGCAAATGCTCAGAAGAACGATCACATCCCTGTGAATAGGTTTCACCCTCCCCAACTTCCTAAAAACCTGTCCAGAATAGGGCTGTTACGGTGACCGTATTACAGCCAAACCTGGCGGTCACAAGTCATGAAGGCAGTCAAATTCCACTAATTAGGCTTCTCCGAGCTATGATGCTGCTGATGGTCATTAGTAGCCTACCAAACTTGCTAGCTGCCTGGTACTCAGCACTCTATTGTCCCTCTAATCACTCTGACATCAATGCAAATGTATTTGAAAAATATAACACTTCATGAGAGCCCATGAGCTCATGTTGCGCAACATTTCTATAGGCTGTGCAATTGTGTGAGAAAACAGTGTGGTGATGGCCAATATTAAAGAGAGGAGGATCTCATCAGCTTTCTATAGGCTATTCTCAACTTTCCTAATATTAAGCACATTGCTTCTCTTTACAACAGGAGTATAGCCTACCTGGCTGGCATGAAAATCACCCACGGGAAAAGCGTCCTCCATTCGCTATTTAAGTGCATAGATGACATGTATTTTTTCCCGCTGCCCCTGTTTCGCAACAGGTGCATGATAATGGTCCATTCTAAATCAAAACAAATTTCACACATATATTATTTAGTATATGTAAAGACAAGATTAAATCAAGAATAGTCTGATGGGTGACAATATTAGCCTATCACTTGTGAATTATATATTATCACTTGTGAATGATGCCCAGCATAAGGCAAGAAACAATGCCTTTTTTTCCTAATCATAATCACCCACCTCATGTAGCCTTGCCCGTAGGCCTATATGTTTTGATAAGGTTTGTATCACAAATAAAGTGGCCAAATAACTTCTTAAAATTCAGCACATTAATCCAATTTACAAGGGGTGTAGAGCCTAACTGGCATACAAAAGCAGCGCATGAGTTTGAAGTTTGGGGAGACAATTTTCACCATAAAAACGCACCTTTATATTAAAGCATGCATAATCGCATTTGCGGTTAATAGAACATTTGCGCTTATAATGTGAAGAAATAGCCTAATAGTTTATCAACATTTTAAGCTAAATGTTCTGATCTGTTGCGTCAGCCTCATGGTGTAAAAAAAGTTTTTTTGATGCTAGTGGTTGTATTAATTTGGGATCTTTCGCATCCCCAACTGTCCCAGACTATGTTTGGAATATATTTTTTTCTCGCACAGAATAGAATAGGTCAACTCTTGTAATATGGGGGATAGTAGATTGACATAGGCTAGTGCTTTTGTTGTTCATTAGGCCTACTCATCTTGTTGGCTGACGAAAAGTAAATGTGGACAGTTCTTCCAATATCTTCAATATGCACCTCTGGAATTTGGATAAGTACGCGCGCAGTTGCGTCCCCGATGTGTCTGTCTTCACTTGTAGCCTGTGAGAAAGATCCGATCACGTGATGGAGAGCCATGTGAGTGAGAGTTGCTTCGGAGCACGCAGCACTCAGGGAGAAGGGCACAACGGCCACAAAAGGCCACAAAAGGCATGGATTTTCTAACGGAATTATCAAGTGCTTGTCAAATTGTAAATGAGAGACTGATGAAGTGTGTACAGCCTGCTCAAAAAACAAAGTAGAGCTCATGCTTTTAATGCAACTTTTTTCAAATCATCATTAGAGTCGAATCATGCAGCCTTACAATGTATTAGAAATCAAAGAATATAGCCCAATGTTTGTAGAACAACTAAAGTTACATTAATAACTCTAAATTAAGCATATAGGAGTACCTATTTCTTTGTTAACCGCTCAACACAGAATAGCCACATGTGCACACTCCCTCAAATCGTTTGGAGAAAATATCCTTTCTATTTTATTCAGCTTTGTTCAATTGTGTTCTTCATATTATAAAAAAATATAAAATAATGCCACGGAATTCTAACCAAATCTTGTCTGCTAAATGAACTAGTGTAGCCCACAGCCATATGGCATAGCCAGATGAGGACCTAACATAACGACAACTCAGAGTATGCTATTCTGTTCTTCTGAAATAGACTACATTTGCCTCATAAATATGCTTCTTTAGACCTGTCTAAAATAACTAATGGATTTATTGTGAAGGTGTTTATTGTGAAGGTGGATTTATTAGACTTTTTAAAAATGTAGATGTTCCAAAGGTCTGCATCAGTGGCTTGTAGGCTATGTGTGGAAGCCAGGAGATGCTAAATGTGTTTGTCAATTAACGGTAAATTACCGTGAGACCGGCAGTTATTTGCTTGACAATCACCGGCTGACGAAATTTCGGGACCGTCACAGACCTAGTCCAGAACAAACTTTTATTCACTCAGCAATAATTTCCTTCCTCCATTCATGTAGATTACAGTGCAGAGTGTAGAACACCTCCATAGTCTCCACCATACTCCAGCCCAGTAGGTGGCGGTAATGCATCTAATATTGGTATGCACTGCCATAAAACCCCAACAAAGAAGAAAAGTAGGTTGGACTACTTTGAACATCATTGCTGCCAGTTTTAAAGCTTTTGAAAAAGCTAACATAAGTGCTTGTGACAGAAGGGAGCAATAATAAATATTATATGTTGCAATCTTCGGTTGGCTCCTCTTTCCAAGATTAAATGGATTAGAAAAGTATTATTATAATTTTTATAATGCTTACTTCAAAAATACGTATTTCCAATGTCTGTAAATGACATCTGTTCAACTTTCATTCAGAACCGAAAATGTACAGTGGGGAAAAAACGTATTCAGTCAGCCACCAATTGTGCAAGTTCTCCCACTTAAAAAGTTGAGAGAGGCCTGTAATTTTCATCATAGGTACACGTCAACTATGACAGACAAAATGAGAAAAATAAATCCAGAAAATAACATTTTAGGATTTTTTATGAATTTATTTGCAAATTATGGTGGAAAATAAGTATTTGGTCAATAACAAAAGTTTCTCAATACTTTGTTATATACCCTTTGTTGGCAATGACACAGGTCAAACGTTTTCTGTAAGTCTTCACAAGGTTTTCACACACTGTTGCTGGTATTTTGGCCCATTCCTCCATGCAGATCTCCTCTAGAGCAGTGATGTTTTGGGGCTGTCGCTGGGCAACACGGACTTTCAACTCCCTCCAAAGATTTTCTATGGGGTTGAGATCTGGAGACTGGCTAGGCCACTCCAGGACCTTGAAATGCTTCTTACGAAGCCACTCCTTCGTTGCCCGGGCGGTGTGGTTGGGATCATTGTCATGCTGAAAGACCCAGCCACGTTTCATCTTCAATGCCCTTGCTGATGGAAGGAGGTGTTCACTCAAAATCTCACGATACATGGCCCCATTCATTCTTTCCTTTACACGGATCAGTCGTCCTGGTCCCTTTTCAGAAAAACAGCCCCAAAGCATGATGTTTCCACCCCCATGCTTCACAGTAGGTATGGTTGTTCTTTGGATGCAACTCAGCATTCTTTGTCCTCCAAACACGACGAGTTGAGTTTTTACCAAAAAGTTATATTTTGGTTTCATCTGACCATATGACATTCTCCCAATCCTCTTCTGGATCATCCACATGCACTATAGCAAACTTCAGACGGGCCTGGACATGTACTGGCTTAAGCAGGGGGACACGTCTGGCACTGCAGGATTTGAGTCCCTGGCGGCGTAGTGTGTTACTGATGGTAGGCTTTGTTACTTTGGTCCCAGCTCTCTGCAGGACATTCACTAGGTCCCCCCGTGTGGTTCTGGGATTTTTGCTCACCGTTCTTGTGATCATTTTGACCCCACGGGGTGAGATCTTGCGTGGAGCCCCAGATCGAGGGAGATTATCAGTGGTCTTGTATGTCTTCCATTTCCTAATAATTGCTCCCACAGTTGATTTCTTCAAACCAAGCTGCTTACCTATTGCAGATTCAGTCTTCCCAGCCTGGTGCAGGTCTATGTTTCTGGTGTCCTTTGACAGCTCTTTGGTCTTGGCCATAGTGGAGTTTGGAGTGTGACTGTTTGAGGTTGTGGACAGGTGTCTTTTATACTGATAACAAGTTCAAACAGGTACCATTAATACAGGTAACGAGTGGAGGACAGAGGAGCCTCTTAAAGAAGAAGTTACAGGTCTGTGAGAGCCAGGAATCTTGCTTGTTTGTAGGTGACCAAATACTTATTTTACACCATAATTTGCAAATAAATTCATAAAAAATCCTACAATGTGATTTTCTGGACTTTTTTTTCTCATTATGTCCGTCATAGTTGACGTGTACCTATGATGAAAATTACACGCCTCTCTCATCTTTTTAAGTGGGAGAACTTGAACAATTGGTGGCTGACTAAATACTTTTTTTCCCCACTGTACCTGATTTCAACTTCCGGAAAATACATATTTTGCGCATCCGGAAAATACATAGTTTCAATGTCCGAAAAATATGTATTTTTAACTTTCATTCAGAACTGAAAATGAACCTGATGTCAACGTCCGGAAAATACATATTTTCAAGGTCTGGAAAAGACGTCTTTTCACCTTTTATTCCGAACCTAAAATGAACATAACTTCAACGTCTGGGAAATATTTACATATTTTAGACATCTTTTCAACGTAATTTTGCATACTGGGCACCTACAGGTGGCAATAACTCTTCCAAAGCACTGTGAGCTGCTGAGTTTACGTCTCCCCTCCTCCCCTCGTACCTTTATCCACCAGCTGTCTCCATCTCTTGGACCAGTCGGTCAGCTGCTGGCTGTAGGCCTTCTCGATTTTGGCACGCTCTTGTATACAGTTCATCAGGTCATTGCAGAGCCGGTGGCCATCATCAATCCGCTTCACAGCATGCTTGTAGTTCCCCACCTTTCATAGGCACCAGAATGAGAGGCATTTCAATTACCTTCAACACATTCCACCTTAAAAGACGATTTATGGTCATTCCGGTATCTACATTGGCCATACAGCATTTACAGTGATAAGGACTCTGCAGAAGTCAGGGCATTCATACTTCTTGCGCTTCGCGGAGTAGAGCTGTTTTGAAGGAAGTTGTCAAGGAAGTGAGTTTGTGTTTACACAGGACGTACCGCCCCCAGCTACCGTCAACCAATCATGTCAATGCGGAGCTATACGGAGCTATACGGAGTTCTCCGCATTTTTACCAAATTTGTTAGGCGCATTGGGATGCGGTACGGAGCTTGATTTGGCCTCTGCAAGCCTCCGGAGGCTCTGCAATTGTGGCACACCCTCCTTACAGAGCGCATTGCCGAATCAAGCATAAATCAGCTTTAGAAATGTAGCGTGTCACCTTAAAGCGAGAATCCTTATCCCAGTGGGCATACGACATGTTAAAGACGTATTTTTCTGGTTGGAATCTGGTCGGGACGTCCTATAACCAGATCACAACCAGATTAAGACGTCTTTTACATGATGTCTTTTTACATCATGAAAAATACGTCTGATTTGAGTTGATATCTGGTTTTTGGTTTAAATCTGATTGAACTACTGACCAGTTATCTTAAATGCTACTAAATTAGTAGACACCAATCTATATAAACATGTGCTTAGTGTTTGTGGGCTATAGACACCCTAAAGACTCTAGCAAGTGCGCTAGTCCAGTGTCACTTTGATTATGCCTGCACATCACCAGCAGCCCCAAACATCTAAAGAATAAGCTACCAGCCAAACAAGCTTATAAGAATTGTACTTGAACTCCCCCCTCATACTCATCTGGAGGTTGAGCATTTTTTTGTCTCCATCTCTGTAATGTGTCTGTATCTATGTAATTGGGCCCACAACCCACAACGGAAATAAGTCCCAGACTTTATTGTGCAATCCTGGTCACTTAAAAAAATCTTTATGTATATATGTATTTTTTAACTGACAAATAAAATCTATCAATCAATAAATCCAAACTGTGCAGCGGCCAATTGATGAAAGGAAAGAGTCTGTTACAGAACACAAAAAGTTTAATGACATTCGGAAACCATGATATTGAAGTGACCAAAGTCAATATGCTTTGTTTATTGGTTGTGTGGTGCATTGGCACAGAAACCTGTTGGTGGAAAATTCGTTGCATATACTGTATTTTATAAAAATATGGCATCAAAATGTTGAAAATCTGATTTCCCCCTAGCTGATCATTGTCTGCAGCCGGCTCTGATTGTAGTGTAATGAAACAGGCATCGAGAGTGAGCTTGTCTGTGGTGGTTGGCGAATCCTCAACCTTCTGGCCTGTAGCCCTGCGTGGCATCGACTGTGCCACAAAAGCATGCTGAAGTGGCAAAGTCGATATCCATATTTATAAACACAGGGTCACTATGGGGCGGCAGGTAGCCTGGCGGGTAGGAGCGTTGGGCCAGTAACGGAAAGGTTGCTGGATCGGATCCCCATCCCTGAGCAGATGAGGTCAAATCTGTCGTTCTGCCCCTGAGCAAGGCATTTAACCCACTGTTCCCCGGGAACCGATGACGTGGATGTCAATAAATGCGGAAGACGCATTCGGTTGTACAACTGACTAGGTATCCCCCTTCCCTTCTGTTATTTATGGTCATAAACATTATTTTGAATTAATTATATGAGGGGGGAGGGTGTTAAATGTATTTGAAAGTACAATGGGAGGGTCATGTGAAAATATTTGTAACTTTGGGGAGGGGGGTGCATTTATTTTAATGACACCTTGAGTTGGACCAGCCCCCCCCCCCCCCCCCAGTACATTTCAATCTGTCCCTTACTTTATGCAGCTGTGCAAAAAATTGTGATGTAGATTTGTTTTTGCCATTACTTGATCTATTTTAAATGTAAGAATATGTTGTAGATTTCAACTTTATTGGTGCCTATGGAAACAAATATAAATGTAATGAACAATGTTTTCAATATCCAAATGTATGAATTATGACCAGCTGGTCAGATAGAGATTACAATTATGACCAACTGGTCGTATGGTGGTCAAAAGAATATGGAATTCTGGTCAGTAAAAATACTTCCCTTTTCAACTAGTTTACTGATAGAGAAATTATGATTATGACTAAAATTGTTAACCCCAATACTGATGATGACTGTGTGAACTGTGTTAGGGTTATCATTATAAACCCACTAACAGAGGGGGTGAGTTAGAACCTGCTGAGACAAACATTCCAGGATGAAGGGGACTGAGAAACTGGTTAAAGGCCGCCTAAAGGTGGGCGGAGCAAAGTTCCTTTGTGTGAAGCATATATAAAGGCTGGTTATGTGTTTTGGCGGGAGAGCTCTCCATGATTAAATAATACAGATCATTCTTGCTGGTTGTGGACCTTGAATTATTCATGATTAAAACCAGAGCCTTACAACCGCTGGTAATGATTCAAGCTTAGGTTTAATTGGAGATAGAAATTCTCGTGACATTTATGACCAGAATAAGACGTCATACTGACGTTCCTGTCACCTGTCACATGTGTAATCTACAGCAGCAGTAGCCCCTAGAGTAGAATACTGTATCATGCACACACACACAGACACACAAAGACATACAATCCCTCTACAACAGCAGCCCTAGTCAGTGGCCTGTCACGCTGCCAGCTCTGCCGCAAAGCCATAGGAGGGTGATGCAGTGACTGCAGAGTGTGGACACCTGGGTTACTGGTTCAAATCCCAGTTCCACTTAAAGGGATGCCTGTTTGACTTCATATGAATGTATCTCTTGAGGCAAACAGTTGTGGTCTGTTCTCACCTCCCAGAAGCTGTCTGTGCCATCCTCCTGGCTGGCCGACTCATCGTAGGCGCCCGACATGATCCTAGAGGGCTTGAGGAGGTTGTGGGAGTCTACAGCAGTCACGGTCTTCATGCACTGAGGGGAGGAGAGAGAGGATCATCAATAATAGCAATATAATGTGGTCGGTTACTTTTATCCAAACGACAAAAAATACGGCGAGAGGCCATTTCAGAGATTGCGTGTGGGAATTAAAAACCAACTATTTAAGTGGTCCTTCTTAATCCATGTGAACATAATGTTCCCTTTATTTTGTAATATCATTCAGTGGTCCTCTGTAGCTCAGCTGGTAGAGCACGGCGCTTGTAACGCCAAGGTAGTGGGTTCGATCCCGGGACCACCCATACACAAAAAATGGATGCACGCATGACTGTAAGTCGCTTTGGATAAAAGCGTCTGCTAAATGGCATATTATATTATTATTCAGACGTAAAAGATGTGAGAGAACTAATGACAAGAGCAACAGAAAACAACCGTTTTACTCAGTTACTGTCCTCCCTCAGTAGGCAAGCTACCAGTTTCAAATACAGGAGGTAGTATTAAGTAAGTGATCAAGTTGCTCATCCTGAGAATGGACACAGACATTGTGCCAAGACAAGGTTGAGTTATCTGTTAATAAAGCACTGTCTGTCTGTTAATAAAGGAATCACTGATGTGGCCCCTTGCATTGTGGATGAGTCGACCGTACCCAGCTAACACATTTGGTTCCTTGGTAGTTGTGGGAATGTACATTTTTGGTGTCCCATTGGTTCTGGGAACAAAGCCATACGTTTCCTGACCGGTAAAACTGAACGTTTTTTAAACGAAAATGTTGTGAAGTGAAATGTTGCCTGTTCTGGGAACAACCATTTTTAGGTTGCAGGGAGGTTCTGAGAACGTTTTACTATGGTTCCTTGAAAGTTTTCCTGGAAGGTTTTATTAACGTTCTGAAAATGGAAATTATAGGTTATTTGAAGGTAATTAAATAACGTTCTGTGAACATTCCCTAAATGTTGTGATTATTTTAAGCAGAATTTAAAGGTTATTTGGAGGTTTTTGAATAACTTCCTTAAAACTTTCACGGAATGTTTCAATAAGACTTTTAATAACACTGCTAGCTTACTTTGGGTTAACTGTTCCTCACCGGGGAAGGCCTTGTACACACACACACACAGCTAGTCTCATTCCCAGTCGTGTGTCTTCACTACTACCGCAGTGTAACCCTTACATGCGAGGTTAATATACAACAGAATCTGTTCAGTCCCGTCGGAGAGAGCTGAGCCTAGGTTGAGTTAGACAGACAGTGCTCGACGAGCGCCTACCTCTGTTCTGTGGAACACAGAGCTGCCTGCCATACAGCATCATGTTAGATGGGAAACAAGCCCACGCTCAAGGGAAGGGAAAGAGAAGGGAGCACACTGAGAGTGAGTGGAGAGTCAGAGGGTCTATGAAGTGGGGTTGGAGACAAGACGGTGAGTCACTGTGAATTGGAACAAAGATCTGTAGTTCCGTATGGTTTCCAACACTTAATAGCTTCATGCCTCCATCAGAACTCACAAGCATTCTTTTCTGTCAGCTTTCCCGGGGACCAATGGATCTTTGTTGATTTCTGATACACTGGCTTAGACTGTTATCTTTCTCAAGCAGGTCCCTCCTATCCAAGAGCCTCACAGCGCTAACACCAACCCTGGCTAGGGGAATGTCCATGAGAGACAGACAGGCGTACTGTAAAGCAGCCACAGCATTGTCTCTCTATTGCCTGGCAGCAGTGGGCAATAACAATAATAATAACACATCTTCACCAAGCCCTGTATACATCTTGCATCTATTCCATTCCTGAGGACTGAGGCCCAGCAGTGCTGTGTGAGAGAGACACGTTGAAAACAATAGAGGGCTCCACTTTAGTGTGGGGGTCAGGGGGAGGAGGAGGGGGGGAGGGCACTGCATGTGTATTTGGGTCACTCAGCCGCCCTAAACCAATGGGGTGGAAGAATACTTTTGACAATGGGAGAAGGAGAGAAGGAAAATGAGCGAGAGAAAGAGAGGGATAAATACTCAAAAAATTCAGTTTCCACCCAGACAAAACATGAGCAGAACGGCTTTGGTTGAAAAAAGGGCTTTGGCTGCATGGGAAAGTGTGAGAGCTGGATGTGCACTACAGTTGGTTAATCCATCAAATCACAAGAGGAGGCTTTTGTTCTAGTGTAGGACAGCCCTCTCTATGAACAAGGCTAGATGGTAGGACACTCACACACACACACACCACCTCACACCTCCCCACCCATAACTAGCTTTCTGACAGACAGCATATTTTTAAATTATGTCTGTCATAAACCATTGTAATATGTACAGATATCAATATTGAAATTGATTGACCATAATTGAAATGTATTAGGGCCTACTACCCTTTTACCCAACATAACACATGTAGTCCACATATACTGTTGCACACACCTACGGTGACAAAAACACTAAAAACCCATTCATTCTGATTTATCAAATTCACCATCAAAGGAACATGAAGTTCCCTTCTCCTCTACATTCCGCTGCAACACTATGAAGACGATCACAACACATATTTCATTAATACTCGTAAGCTAAGCACACCATGCACCTCCATCTCTCCATCTCCACACACACACACAACCAAATATACACACACAGACACCTCAACCTCAAACACACACAGACACCTCAACCTCAAACACACACAGACACCTCAACCTCAAACACACAAAGACACATCAACCTCAAAACACACACAGACACCTCAACCTCAAACACACAAAGACACATCAACCTCAAACACACCAGCACATCAACCGACTGCATTAATCAGACAGTGAGAAACCACTCTAGGCTGTAATCAAGACAAATGACTGCACCCCAAATGATGGAGAATGCAGGCCTCCCTCCACTACATCATAGCAACAAAAGCCTTACCCCCATTCCTCCATTAGCAGGGTGAGCTGTGACGGCTAGCTACAGATACAGCTCTGAGGCACATAGGCTCCTCTCTCGCCTCCCGCCTCCCGCCCCTTTGTTTTTGTTCAGCTCAGAGCCCTATTTTCTCAAAGAGCAGAGCAAGCATCATCACACCACACACAGGCAACGGACGTAGACACTGTCTTATCCAAGAGCACAGACACTTCTGGCCAGGCAACGTGTTGAGTGGAAGTGTGTGAGTGTTTCAGTGTATGGTTGTATGAATGTGTGTGTGAGAGAGGGAGTGTGTGTGTGTGTGTGTTTCTCAATGGTTGGGGGATAATCCTCTGAGAGGGAGGGAGAAGAGACTCTGAGAGAGGGGGGAGAGGGAGGGAAAAGAGACTCTGAGAGAGGGGGGAGAGGGAGGGAGAAGGAGGGATGAGGAGAAGAGTGGGGGGTGGTTGTGGCAGGGATGTACTAACCGTGGCAGGGATGTACTAAGCATGGCATCATGACCAGAGACAGTGAGGGTTAAGGAGGTGGGAGAGACAGGGAAAATGGAGGTAGAGAAATATAGTGCGAAGAAGAGAGCCTCAGATGTGTAGGGGGGATGTAGGATGACGTCATGGCTAGGGGAGAGAGTGAGACGCAGTGAGGCGGAAACAGAGAAGCAGACATATAGATAGGTGAAGGAGTGAGGGCACTATAAACTAACTGCACTGCTGGAAAGTCCTGGAGTAGAAAGAGGAGAGGGAGGAGGGAAAGTAGGAGAGGTGATAGAAGATGGAGAAAGAGAGAGAGAGAGAGAGAGAGAGAGAGAGAGAGAGAGAGAGAGAGAGAGAGAGAGAGAGGAGAGAGAGAGAGAGAGAGAGAGAGAGAGAGAGAGAGAGAGAGAGAGAGATTGTACAGGTGTGGCCTTTATACGACAGGTAATAGAGGGAACTGATACTACACAAGAGGTTGACTCCACTTCAAGAGAAAGAGAGCTGCATTATGCCATGCAGACAGAAAACCAATAATAAACCCCTGATTTGAATATTCATGAGCCCAAGAGAGCAACTCGGTGCTGTGATAAGACAGTAATAAATGAATGATAATCAGCAGCCAGGAATAGCTATCAGGACATTCCAGAAAGAAAGAAAGGGTACCATGACGATGCTGTTATAACAGCTGATAGGCCTGTGTAATATGTCATTCCTGTGAATGTGACCAGTTGTGATTTCCTGTGTAGACCTAGTGGCTAGAGAGTAGAAGAGGAGAGGAGATCATGAGACTCACCCTGGCCTGATGATTTATCATCACTGGGTAGAGCGCCAGACAGAGTGATGCTGAGCAGGGCGTGGGCAGGACAGGGGAAGGAGGGTGAAGAAAGGGGGACGGAGGAAGAGGGTAAGGACATTGGAGGATAGAGGAGAGAGGGGAGAGAAGAGGGGGAGGATGGGGGAGGATGAGGGCAGTGTGGGAATATCAGGGGGTCCACAGCAACAGCTCCCAGCCAGCCATAGTAAAATTCCACTGCAGGACAGGTCCTCTGCACCTCAGAACCCACGGCAGCACAGCAGCTATTCATCATAAACACTCAATATGCTGCCTAAACATCTCTCTGACTGCAGTGCTGCGACACCAGAGAACAGGTAGAGGAAATATTCAGGAAACAACCCTTCCCAATATTGCTAACTGCAAATTGATATCAATAAAGGTATCTTGGTGCTTTTAATGTGAAAATGTAATCCTATTCTCTTCAAAAAGCTATTTTCAAAACAACTGAATTAATTCCTGGTACAGGTCCCATTCTAAGGAATATTTCACTGTACAACGGATTTCCTTTACATAAAAAACAGTCCTTCAGTCTAAAGCACTTATGTGCTTTGAGAATTCCCATTTACATGTACATTTAAGTCATTTAACAGACGCTCTTATCCAGAGCGACTTACAAATTGGTGCATTCAACCCTTGAAGGTAATTGTTTCCATGGGAGCCATTGATTTGCAGCCTACATCTGTTCTTCACATTAAAGTCTGAATAAAGACAAAACCACAAATTAAGAAAAATACCAAGGTGTTCAAACTAAGTCCCAATTCCACAGGGCCATACCAACAAATGTTAAATCCTCTAGGTAATGCAAGCCAACTGTAACATAGAGTACGAAATATGAATGCAAACATGCTTTCTGCAGTTGATAATGTACGTTGACAAATGATGACAGGATGGCTGTGGTTGTAAACCTGGTTTGATTAGAAATGAATCATTTGTCATTGTTACACTGAGACTGACTGACTTGTTGCGGTTGTGTCTGAAAAGTGGTGTGAGCTACAAGTGCATACGAGAGCAAGCAGGATCAACACTGACTCATATTCATCAGGCCAGTGGTTAGTGCATTCCATCTAAAACAGGGATGGACTGGCCAACCGTCCTCCCGAAGAGCTACTGTGAATGGCTGTAAGCTGTCATCTGTGGAAAAGGCTTTTGTCCATTCTTGACACATTGGACTAGTTCATATAGCGACTGCATTAACGAAAAGGCACCATACTATAAAACGTTTCTCCTCTGGGTAAGAAATGAGAGAGATACATACCCTCATTCATTCATGTCACTCTATAAACCAAATAGAGAGACAAAAACCCTGAAAAATCCACTGTGCTCGCTTTGTCGGTACCTGACGACTTCATCCAAATCTGTAGCAGGATACAGTACTCAAAGAACAAAGCATCTGTGTGAAAGGTTGCTGACAGCTTCCTAAACAGTGTTCTGCGAAGCGACACTGCCAGGGAAGTCTGACACATGGAATATTATTACACTGACAACCACAAGAGGTTTTCAGTCTGACAGAGGAGGCAAGGAAGCTATTTCAAATAGACCTACCTAACACACCCAATGGGAGTGCGAGTGTAGGCCTAGTGTCCTCAAATACCCTCACCCAAAGAAAATGCACACACGCACGCACGCACACACACTTCCCTCACTGTCTGTGTGTTCCTCAAGTCCCCAACTGTTGCTGCCCCTGCTGCACCGCAAATCCCACTACACTAGGATCTTGGCAACGTTGGTCATATGCAGCACTCGGTTTATTCAGTAGACCAGGGCCGGCTCTAGCCTTTTGGGGGCCCTAAGTGAGAGAAACACATTTTTTGCAGTTCTACACATTTTGCCATGGGGCGGAGAGAAAATGTTGCAATTCTATAACACATTTCATGCAATTCTACTAATTTGCCATGGGGCAGAAATATTTATTTTCTTCAGTTTTACAGCTAATTTCCTGCAATTCTACACATTTTGTCAAGGGGTGGAGAGACATTTTTTATGTTTTAAAGCTAACTTCCTGAAATTCTACACACTTTGCCATGACTTATACCATGTTAATGATATCTGAGTGAGAGTGACTAACAAAATCAATGGGGGCCCCCTGGAGGTCAGGGCCCCTGGGCACGTGCCCTTTGTGACCAGTCGGTATTCGGCCATGATGACTCCTAGTTTAGATAGCTGGCTAGACTAATTTATCAATCTAAAATGTGTTAGCTGACATGGCTAATTGAGTGACTGTTAGTGACTGCCATAACAAGAGAACAATTGCTGATGCACAACCAGATGTCGAACTTGCACCTTGTATATTCTACTATTTTAACTCTCAATAGTAAGTTGAGACCCCGATTGAGTTCCTGGGGCCTTAAGCGACCACTTATGTCGCTTATGCCTGGGGCCGGCCCTGCAGGAGACGCTGCATCCTGCTGCTCTCCTCAGATTCCTGCTCATTATATAGAGACAGAAGAGATCATCAATGATTCAGCCATGCGGTGTAAACAGATAGGAGCGATAACCAACCCTACGCACCTGGAGGCCTCAGCCAGGGCCCTTCAATTCCAACTCCCATATAATTTACCATACAGTACACACACACTGTGTGGTGGAGAAATCAGAATTAGCTAAGTAACATAGATCATTAAGATGTCTTATCTGCAGAATATGCTTATATGACTGAACTGTTGAACTCGTTATTAGAATGTCTCATTTCGGACTCTGGTGTGGGCAGCTGTACTTCCTCCCTCATATGGGTCTCAGTCCCCTGGGGCCCAGAGAGGGGAGAAGTCAGACTTGTCTATCACATGTCCCTGTTGCTATGCAGAATATCAGAAAGAGAATAGGCCAAAGGAGGTCAGAAGGAAACATTGTTTCCATATGTGAATATGTGTCTTTACCTATTGTAAACCATGTGAAGAGATGGCATGAGGAATGGGAACCAATCACTTGTCTCCATAATTTCTGTGTGTCAGTCGCCCTCTCCTTTGGCCTTGGGAGATTGTTCTCTCCCCTGGTTCCCTTTCTAGCAAGGTGGAAACTAAGTAACAACAAATGTCCTTCTAAATTCTTAGTACTGAACAAAACAATGAGTTCTATGTATTTGGGGCTAAGGTCTGGCACAGGATGTGTGGGGTTAGTGTCTGGAACCATTGTATGTTGTCTCTGAGCTTGCACCTATCCTGACCCATCCTGAGATGGTATATAACACAGAGGCTCACTCCACTCAGAGAGCTCTCACTCTACTCACTTCTGTGTGGGTATTGTGATCAGCTCCCTTATCAATGAGTTTTGAATAAAGTTTGATTGGTGATTGACCTTGTCTCTCCCCATTATTGATACAATTCCACTACAGCTGCCATACTGAATCATTACCCTTAGGCTACAGACACTGCCATACTGAATCATTACCCTTAGGCTACAGACACTGCCATACTGAATCATTACCCTTAGGCTACAGACACTGCCATACTCAATCAGGAGGGATGTTATCTATTCAAATCATTTCTGGGGTTCCAAGGATATTCTAAACCGGCAGATTTGCTCGCAGATGGCCCTACCCATGATACTAAATTATAAGCACAGATAGAATGGTATAGTCCATCACTATGAGCCAGCTGAGTATATGAGTTAGTCTTTACCAGCTTTAGTTCCATTGTTCCACTCACTTTTCTATGCAACGTCTTCCACACTGAGGACTGTAGCAAAGAGACATCCAAGGAGACAACAAAACTCCGGTTGCAGTGTGAAGACAATACCCAGCTGTCACGACTTCGGCCGAGGCTGCCTCCCCTCCTTGTTCGGGCAGGCTTCGGCGTTCGTCGTCACCGGAGTACTAACCACTGCCGCCCCAATCATCATCACAATTGTCTTGTCTTGTCAATAACACACACCTAATTAGTCCGTGTATAAGTGTTCCCTCTGCCCCCCTTGTCCTTGTGAGTGATTATTTATTGTGGAGGTTAGTGATGCTCGGTGGAACTCGTGTATTTTGTATCGACAGGAGTATTTTCCTGTGTGCCTTGTATTTTCCAGTGCACATGTTTTGTGCCCTGGAGTGTGTTTGACGCATTTCTGCGTAAACCTGTATTTTGCGGATTAAAGCCTGTTATTCTGTGATTTACCCTCCTGCGCCTGACTCCTTCAACACCACCTCATCACAGAATCACCCACCCGAGTATGGAGTCAGCGGGAGAAGAGCGCATGCCTGGAGTCGTGGCACGGGTCCAGGAGCATTCCACGATGCTGGCCAGCTTGGGGGAAGCGATGGATCGGGTTCTTCAGGTCGTCCAACGCATGGAGAGGAGAGAACCCGATCTGTCAAGACCAGCTGGCCAACCGGATCCAGCCACCTACACCCCAGCACCCAGAGGGATCCAGATATCCCGACCACGGGCGTTTGATGGGACGACGGCGCTGTGCCAGGGATTCCTCCTCCAATTGGAGGTTTACTTCACCAGCATCAGGCCGGAACCATCGGATTGGGAGAAGGTGTCCGTCCTCGTTTCCTGCCTCTGTGGGAAAGCCCTGGAGTGGGCCAACGCGGTGTGGAATGAAGGAGGAGCCGCGTTGGAGGACTACAGGGAGTTCGCTCGCCTCTTTCAGGCGTTCTTCGATCACCCGCCCGAGAAGCGGGTGAGCGACTGGTCCATCTGAGGCAGGGGACGAGGTTCGCGCAGGACTTCGCGATGGAGTTTCGGACGCTGGCAGCGGGGTCCGGGTGGAACGAGCGGGCCCTGATCGACCATTTCCGGTGCCATCTGCGGGAGGACGTTCGACGGTAGCTAGCCTGCCGAGACACCATGTTGTCCTTCAACAAACTGGTGGACATGGCCATTCGTTTGGACAACCTGCTGGCAGCCAGAGGACGTCCTGGTAAGGGTCTGCCCGTTTCCACCCTGGACGACTCGGATCCCGAGCCGATGGAGCTGGGTGGAGTCGCCGGCCGAGAGAGCGGAGGAGGACAGCGTCAGTGCCACTCTGGTGGCACGAAGGGACAAGACACCACATGTCGTAGTCAACATTCTTTTGGGCCGGGAGGCGGCAGGCAGGGCACTCACGCATCACCCCAGGTATCGAACACCCACACTTGTTCAGAGCCCTCTG